CGCGGGGCGGGCGCCGCTGCGGGGCCGCGCGGCCGGCGCACAGGGTTGTCGGCCGAGGACGGTACGGCGTCGGCTGGGCGAGCGAGCGGACGTATCCGAGCACTGACACGCGCCGCGCGTTAGAGGTGGTGATAATCTGGAGGGCGACGGCGGCGGCGGGGTTAGCAGCGCTGGTCGATCGGCAAGGACGCAGGCACTGAACATTGCCTCGCCATAGAAGGAATCGTGTTCGTTTGCAGCGTTCGGTGGCTCCAAATTGCCTGTGTTCGTAACGTGGTACGAGGGTGCCTCTGTGGCGTCATGCTAAGAGCTTTCCATGAGGTTCCCGCCTTTGAATACCCCAGGCGAATCTGGGCACGCGCTGTTGAGTTTTACTTGCCAGTATTATTCGTAGAAAGCCGATGTCCCCAGTCCGCGTGGACGGAACTTCCAAGCCGGATGCCCGAGTATGTTCAGGGGGCTGATGTTTCGTGTATGTTACTCGGCGTGCATCGGTTTTGTTTTGTATACTGTTTATTATAATCTTACGTGTTAACCTGGGATGGTGTTCTCACCAAGTAATGGTGATGACATGGGTCACACTGTGCTTTCCGTACTGGGTTGTACTTACGAACGCGGTTAGGTCAAGCGCCAAATGCAGGTGATGCCTGATTTGTTTTGTACTCTAGTGATAATAAATATATCCTATGCAACACAAATGTGAGCACTGTGTCGATAGATGGAATTTTCCCCAAAATATTTGCGAGAGCACTCAGAATAGTGGGATTTGGCATTAATTTGATGTACACAACATTCACAGGCTCTTGCTACAGCCAGCACGGAATCAACGTGATACGAGCGCCCAACCTTGAATTTGTGTACGCTTCACCTATTTCCCGTAATTTTGCGGTATTTACGTATTGTAGATATATTGATATGCTTTGGGCAGAGTCAGGCGACAGTGACCCCACTTGGGTTTTACCGCAGCGCTTTTGTTTTTGTGGTTTCTTTGGTTCCATTTGGATTTAGAGCCCCCTCAGCCAGCAGTGACTTTCAGGCTCCGGGATAAAGGGGAGTGGATAACGGTAACACAAACTGCATGCACCTGGAGGTCCATTCGGAGAGACACAGGCCGTTTAAAGAACCCTTTGCGGGGTATCAGCTCGGCACTTGGACGGCGCCCACCATGGGAGCACTTTAGCCGACTCATGGCTGGTGCATGGAGCTCGCCACGGACAAGCGGGGCGTCGCGAGGGTGCAGGATAAAGTGAGAATGGGGAAAGCAGGGTGGGTGGCCGCAACGTCACCCGGACGTGTGTTTGAGCCTCGCGGGCCACCGAAGCCGGCACTCGTCGCAGACCAAGCACTGATGCGAGAGAGCAACGCCACACGTGTCGTCCTTCGATTTATGGGCGGGGACGTTCAGACATGTTCACGGGAGACCCACTGATGGACAGCAGTCGCGACAGCGTGCCGTTCAGCTCCGCGGCTCCCTTTTTAGTTGTGAGCCAGGCATTGGCCGCGACGGACGACAGTCGCTCTCCAAAACGTGACGTCATCACCGGTCGGCGTGTTGCGGCCAGATCACGATCGACGCGCGGCAGGTAACGCCGGCGTCGGTCAAGATCTACGCAGATGGCGCTGGTGTGGTCTTGCACTCGTCGGAGTCGTCCGGCCACACGCACACGAGCTTGACTCGGTCAAACACCGAACCGTCGCCGCACGAGAACTGAAACAAGGCGACCATGTGTGGATCAATATTGCGTGATGACGGTCGGCGACGGAGTTTTACTACCGTTCAGTGCTCTGAATTATCCGCATATCAACCTAACCCCGCAGGTTTTTGGTCATTTTCAGCACCTGAAGGTCAAATACAGCACAAGTGCCCATATATCAACGCCAGTGTTTTTTCTTATATGAGGGATCTAGGTGAAAGCTCGTTGCGTGAGGAGATCTAAGGCACTGCGGACACCAATCTGGGATTTTCCTTGTGCGACCTTATTTGACCTGAAGGTCCAGACGTATTGACCTCAAAATTTAACACAATGGATTCACATGGATTGATACGGATACGGCGGATTTGGTGTTCCTACCTGTATTTTCATATCAGTGCAAGGTCAGATTGACTCCCCACTCCCAACTTCCACCCCCACCCGAGGGCACCGTATTCAACCTGCCACCCGGACACACGTCAACACAAACATCTATAGAAATATGCATTCTGGTGAGATAAGAGCAAAGTGAGAGTCAAAGCGTGTGAACGTGGAGAAGAGGTAAGCTATTAAGCGAGCTCATTTTCCGATCGTCTCTCGTGAATATTTCTCCTAATCGCGGCCATGCACTTTACCTGCTGGTAGTCTCAGTTCTCTTTGACCGTCCACCCCACCTGCTGGTAGTCCCAGCTCTGTCTCCGACCGTCAGCCCCACCCGCTTGTAGTCCCAGCTTTGCCTCGGCCATCCGCCCCACCTGCTGGTAATCTCTACTGTCTCTCCGACAACCCGTCCCACCTGTCGATAGTCCTAGCTGCGTCTCCGACAGTCCGCCACACTTGCTGGCTGTCTGCTCCGTCTCTCCGACGGTCCGCCCTACCTGTCGGTAATCTCCGCTGTCCCTCCGACAGACCGCCCTACCTCTCGTAGACTCCGCTGTCTCTTCCGACAGTCCGCCCCACCTTCTGGTAATCTCCGTTGTCTCTGACAATCCACCCCTATCTCCCGTAAACTCCGCTGTCTCTCCGACAGTCCCTCCCCTTCTGCTGGTAATCTCCGCTGTCTTTCCGACAATCCGCCCCATCTCCCGTAAACTCCGCTCTCTCTCCGACAGTCCTCCCCTTCTGCTGGTAATCTCCGCTGTCTTTCCGACAATCCGCTCTATCTCCCGTAGACCCCCGCTGTCTCTCCGACAGTCCTCCGTACCTGCTGGGTAGTTTCCGCTGTCCCTCCGATAGCCGGCCACACTTACCGGCAGTCTCCACTGTCTCTCCGAAACTCCGCCTCACCTGCTGGTAGTCCCAGCTGTCGCCGTTCTGGACGCACTCGTAGAAGTAGGGAGAGCACATCTTGTCCGGGTCGGGGTTGAGGCCGGGCTTCACGCAGACGTGGCTGGGCTCCGGCGTCGGGCCCGGCGGCGGGGTCGGCTTCGTCGGCCGCGTGTGGTGCGTCGGCGCAGTCTGCGGCGCACGACCGGACGCTCATGGTGCAGCCTCGCCGGACCGGCGCACGCGCCACGGCCGGCGGCTGGTGACCCGGCTGTGGTACCCCCACCCAGCGCGAAGCCTTCCGACGCCGATGGCGCGGGCTCCCACGACCCCAGCTCTGACGCGGCGTCAGCCTCCGCACACCACTGCCCGGTGGTGCGTGTAAGCGAGCACGCGATCATCCGCCGGGGGTTCAACCATCGCTTCACTTCGATTCGACGTCGATTATTTGAGCAGTTACGGCTGCAGTGGCAAACGGGGAACCTTCCCACTGCGGAATGGGAAACTGAGGTATAGCCGGCGAGGCTTCTCAAACGTACACCACTTCATAGGTGAGACGGTACTAGTACCACTAAGTAGCGATGATGTACCCTCCCCTCTTCCTCCCCCTCCCCCCCTCACCTCACCTGGTGGTGTTTTAGAGCGTGATATTTAACTCTGTTATCCAGTGGCATGATGAATTCCCTCTGGACCTGCTCAAACGCATCACGTTCACGGGGTCGAGCGTACTGGTCGGCAGAGGGCCGTCTCTCCGCTGTGAACCCCCTCTCGTCTCCACCACACTGTACGTACGGGGTTAGGTGTGGTGGTCGGTAGGGGACTGTCTCCCCGCTGTGACCCCCTCTCGTCTCCACCACACTGTACGTACGGGGTTAGGTGTGGTGGTCGGTAGGGGACTGTCTCCCCGCTGTGACCCCCTCTCGTCTCCACCACACTGTACGTACAGGGTTAGGTGTGGTGGTCGGTAGGGGACTGTCTCCCCGCTGTGACCCCCTCTCGTCTCCACCACACTGTACGTACGGGGTCGGGTGTGGTGGTCGGCAGGGGGCTGTCTCCCCGCTGTGACCCCCTCTCGTCTCCACCACACTGTACGTACGGGGTCGGGTTGTGGTGGTCGGCAGGGGGCTGGGCGACGGCACGGCGCCGTTCAGCTCGCTCCAGACCAGGTTCAGCAGCGGGTACTTGGGTCCGCATACGCCACGGAAGTCGTCCGAGTCGATCGCCCAGATCATGGCTCCACCCAATCCCAGGCTCTTGAGGAACTCCATCTGAGGCACGCCACACACACACACATGCACACACGGTCAGGGTACCGCGACGTTCATAGGTCACGCGCTGTACTCCTGTAGCGTGCATGCCACTGCGGCCAGGAGCCGCGTTTGGTGGGGGTTCACGTGCCGGCGTGATTGCGTTTTAGGATGAAACAAGACATCTGGTGGAGGGCACCCCACTTGCGCTTATGAGTCGAGACCTGGTCATACCGGACCGCAGTGTCTGATGTTGACGCGTCGAAGGTCGTGTCTCTCGGCGTCGTAAAGAGGCGGCAACGGAACGCCGCAGGATTTTGTCCACTTTCCAGCCCGGCATGTGAATCGGTGCCGCAGTTTCTGTCCGACGGGAGAGGCCACGACCGACTCACCTTGAGCTTGACCGCCTGAAGGTCATCCCAGCCCACCCACGTGTTGCCTTTGTAGCCGTAGATCACCTTCTGCTCGCTGTCTCTCACGTACGTCCAGGTCGGCTTCAAGATCTTCTCGCAAAGCTGAAAACGCACGTGTGTAGTTCTCAGTACAGATTATGTGAGCAGCGCAGCAACGTCATGTCCGTCCTCGAAATTACCAATCACTGGACAGTTTATTTCGAAGGGACCTAATACTCTTTCCCCGACTTCTCCAGTGCTCCTCCCGTCCGGCAGAACCGGCGGACGTATGTCCACGCCGCCCGGCGCGCCCCCGTGTCCGTGCGGGAGCGGACCTCACCTCGTTGTAGCCACAGAAGCCGGGCTCGCCCGAGTAAGGACAGCCGGCCATCGGCCCATTGGACGGGTCGTACGGCGTGTGGTGCTCGCTGTTGGCCAGCACGAAGCCGCGCCCGTAGAACGGCATGCCCAGCATCAGCTTCGAGGGCTCGATGACCCTCAGGTAGTAGTTCATCGAGTAGTTCTGGGAACGTTTGGGGGGGGGGGGGTCGAGTTAGGGGTGGCAAAGGCAGCTTCGTGGGGGCTGTTGTTTAACCAAATCGACAGCAGCGCCATGCTGACAGGCGAGAATTTCTTACTATTACAAGGCCTCGTCCGGGTACACGGCCCATCTAACCGTTCGCCCGGCAGGTGTTACTGTGCGACAGTCCGGGCGCACGGCCCATCTGACCATCCGCCCCACAAACGGTACTGTGCGGCAGTCCGGGCCCATCTAACCGTCCGCCCGGCAGGCGTTACTGAGCGGCAGTCCGGGTGCACGGCCCATCTAACCATCCGCCCCACAAACGGTTCTGTGCGGCTGTCCGGGTACACGGCCCATCTAGCCGTCCGCCCGGCAGGCGTTACTGAGCGGCAGTCCGCGTACACGGCCCATCTAACCGTCCGCCCCACAAACGGTACTGTGCGGCAGTCCGGGTACATCTAACCGTTCGCCCGGCAGGTGTTACTGTGCGGCAGTCCGGGTACACGGCCCATCTAACCATCCGCCCCACAAACGGTACTGTGCGACAGTCCGGGTACATGGCCCATCTAACCATCCGCCCGGCAGGCGTTACTGAGCGGCAGTCCGCGTACACGGCCCATCTAACCGTCCGCCCGGCAGGTGGTATTGTGCGACAGTCCGGGTGCACGGCCCATCTGACCGTCCGCCCTGCAGGCGGTAGTGCGGTAGCGTACCACGCTGAAGTACTCGAAGTTGTTGCCGTGCTCCACGTCCAGGTGCGACAGGTAGAGCGGCGAGTTATGGCCGATGAACGGGTCCCAGTCGCCGTGGTAGTCGTACGTCATGACGTTCACGATGTCCAGGTACCTGCCGGCCGACCACAGGCGGTCGGTGGCGTCCAGGTCAGCCTCCATTGGCTCCGGCCATGACCGCACTGCCAGCTGGAGCTCTTTCCGCTCCTCAAGCTAACTACTTCACGTGCAGAAACAGGGGCGCAGTGTCGCAAAATGGGTTGCGGGAAGGACTGAACAGAAAAATATGACAAAATCTACCACGAAAATGCAAACAAACTAGTTTTCCACGCATTTGGCAACTCTCTCCCCAAGTTGGGCGGGTGGATTTTGCACATAAGTTAGCCCCCCCCCCCCCCCCCCGCCCGCAAGTTGGAGGAGCCTCCCTCTCCCTCCAACGAATAGGAAACTACACCACTGGTAGAAACATAGGACGATGACCACAAAGCGAGGAATGCAAATATGAGTGACACAACAAGCCCCTGAGGGCGATCAACGGGCACATCTCTGGAAGTGGGCTTCTTCATGTGTACTGTGTTCAGAAGCGCACGTAACGCATAAATACCCCGCTGACAGCAGAGACTTCAAATACCCGGCTGGCAGCCGATGCTGCAGGCCGTCGGCGCTCACGACGAGCTGTGGCTGCCTCGCATGCCCCGGCCCTCGACGTGCGGCGCTTGTCTTGTGCGCGTGCTCCTTACGTGCACGTCATATGCACGGCAGATGGCTCATGTATCGTCATCATGCTGGCATGGATCAGCGAGATCAGTGGCCTGTCGGGGAACTGCGCCCCGCATCGAAAATACTTTGTCTTTATGGGGAGACAGACGGTATCCTTCGCCGCGCTCTGGAGCTGCTTTCGGTGTTCGGCTGTTCTGCTGAGCTGCTTTCGGCTGTTCTGTTTGGCTGCTTTCGGCTACTTTGCCGAGCTGCCCTCGACTGCTTTGCTGAGCTGTTCTCGGCCGCTTTGCTGAGTTGCCCTCGGCTGCTTTGCGGAGCTGCTCTCGGCTGCTTTGCTGAGCTGCTTTTAGCTTGCTGCTCTGGCTTGCTGCTCCCATCGGCGGCCCATTTCGCGGCTGACTTCCTAAGCTTACTCTGATCACTTCATAACAAGTGGCGGTTGACTAACCACCTATTCGAGGCTTTCATGTGTAAAACAACTATCAGCCCGCAAGCTTTTCAACAGGCTTTAAGTCATATAGGGATGAGTCAAGAGACGTTACGCTGCCTAAGGAGACGCTACGCTCCTTCCCCCGCCACACTTCCGTTGCGTTCCTTCCCAACCACGTGTAACTTGTGTCATCGCCCACGGATGATTGACTCAGCGAGTGAGGAACGCGTGCACGGGGCGTCGAGGGCGGCGGCGGACACCTCAGCTCGTAACAGTCGACCGCGGCCCGCCGGCCACACGTACTTGTTCAGGTCAGCGAGGTGGTAGGCCGGGTCGATGGTCTGCTTGCCAGCCGAGACGGCCGCGCTCAGCAGCAGACCCAGCGGGTTCAGCCGCTCGTGCAGCTCCTTCAGCAGCAGGCTGTAGTTGTCCTGCGCGCAGTCGCAAGCAGGCGCCGGTTAACGGAGGGCTCAGGGAGGGCGCGTAGCTGAACGTGTCACGGACGTCGATGGACGTGCGACATATGCGTATCTGCGCTCCGAGCGCTACGTGACGGTTAGTTCACTTCGAACTTAGAAGACGCGTTCAGCAAGCGTTATAGAGAGCTCAGCATGTGTGCCTTGATGGGCATCGTTGACTGTACTATTTATTGCCTGTTTCTACGGACCCGTTGTGTGGCAGTGCTCAACAGATGCACTCGTGCCTCAGCCCGGGAGGAGAACAGTATCGGCATGAGGCTGTGATGGAGTGTCTAACCACGTCATCCGGCGCGCCTCCCCGCAGCGTCGGGTACTCCCAGTCCAGGTCGAGCCCGTCGAAGTTGAACTTGTGGAGGAACTTCACCACACTGTTGATGAACTTCTTGCGATTGGCTGCTGTGGAGGCCATCTGAAGACCACACGAAGAGGAGCGGTGGGAGGTGCGCATGCCACCAGCCCTCGCAGGGGTACCGCTCAAGATCGGACGAGCCGCGCCGTTCAAGCGTACACTTTGGTCTTCGACGCAACGGCTCGAGTCGTCTCGGGAGGGAGAATGTTTAGAAATACACTTAGTAGCGAAGTGTGCTGGCTCCAAACGCCGACGCTGCGTTGTCCGTCTGATGCTGGCTGTCACTTCTCGTTATTACCACCCATGTATTTTGAGCGTTGGAAATGCTGGTTTCCAGCACGCACTTTTACCACCCATGTATTTCGCTCTCTCGACAAGTGCGTGCGGGGTGCGCCTGTGAAGAATTGAAAGGGGGCGGAACACGTGGTGTTGTCGAGCGCCCTCACCAGGCGGCGCTGCTGGGGTGTCGGCTCACCTGTGAGTACTTTCTGGACCCCTCGTTCCAGCCGCCGATTGATAGCATGGTTTTGATCTCAGGGTTCTTCTGCTTCATCCGGGTGAAGCGAAGGTAAGCGCCTGGCGGGGCAGCACGACACGTTATGATGCTGAGTGTAGGAGTCTGTCCCGCAACTTGGCAGGACGCCAGCTGAAAATTTTTACTCGCTTGATTTCTTTCAGAGTGTGCACGGTAATCTAACCCGTCAGTGGAGGTTTTTATCTTATTCATGTCAGAACGCCTCCATGGATAACCTCTTCAGGGGACCTGATGGGCTGCTGTCAGAAGACGTGCTTTTTTTGTTTTGTTTTTTTAGTTTTTAAAGCGAAAAAGCTGTTTTGCGTGCGTACTGAACTCGCCGTCAGAGCTGCAGCGTCCGGTTTAACGCATGACTACCCCGCACTGTTCTGGCCGCTCAATGCTGGGTGGCCCCGAACCTGGCTTTACTCTCATTGGCAATTGGTCAGCCAACGCTTCCACGTCAGTTAGACCAAATGTTTTCACCCTGGGGCTCGAACCCAGCGCCGCTGAATAACCAGTCTAGCGCATTCGCCCGGGTACGTAGGCAGCAAAGCAAACTCATCTCACCAAGCAGACATCACTCAGCGCCAGTCAGCAGCGAGATCCCAAACAAAATGTGCTGTGGATGAAGGGCCAATTGAAAATATGATGACAATGTTTGTCAACAATGCATCTTTACATCACCCCGATAACTGTTCAGTAGCTTGTGTGATACAAAGCATAACTCCGCGAAGAGTGCAAGGTGAAGCATGCGATACCTAATACAACGTCAAACAGTCCGTATGAATATAAAATCGTGGGACGAAAGGCTGCTCACGTCTGTTTGCGGAATCACGGCATGGGTCCACGAACCCCCGTGCAAAATGGCAAAGGAGCGATAACCGCCGACGCACCTTAGCGTCGTTTGAAAGGCAAGCCACCGCCGCAGCGGAGCACCAACCTCTGCCGTAGTCAGCGTACAGGTCGTTCCAAGGATCCAGCGAGACAATGGTGTGGTCGTTCTTGAGCCCGGCGAACGTGTAGACGTAGTGGGTGCAGATGTAGGGATCGATGTCCTCCACGTCGTACTTGCCCTTGCCCGTCCGGTACACCGCCCAGCTCTCGAAGTAGCACACCACTTTGTACGGAGTAGCATCTCGTGCTGACAAAGACCGGACACAGCCTCAGGGCGTTACCAATCATGGCGAAGGGCCACCCAAACGGGCTCAACAGTGTCTTTCCGCCGAAAACTGAGAGGTGACGTTTGCGTAGGTCTGCTCTGATGTATGCAAGGGGTGCAAACAAAAGGCATTGCACACACACGTTACCTGCACCCTCTCCAGTTAATTAGTTTAGCCGTTACGGTTTAGCCGTAATATGTTCCAGTTCAGCCGTAATATGGTCCGTAATATGTTCCATTTTAACCGTTATATGTTCCAGTTCAGCCGTAATATGTTCCGGGTTCATACGTAACATGTTCCAGTTCAGCCGTAATATGGTCCGTAATATGTTCCAGTTTAACCGTAATATGTTCCAGTTCAGCCGTAATATGTTCCAGGTTCATACGTAACGTGTTCCGGTTCAGCCGTAACATGCGCCGCGCCCATTCCCAACGAGTGGACATGCACCGGACGCCAGATCTCAGCCATTTACGATACAGGCCCGGAACAAAACGCGGGCGACTGCCTGCTGGTAAAGGCCTTTACGTATGCATATTATACTCGAAATGCTATGCACACGTTATATATATATATATATATATATAGATTAATGACTTTATACATATATGTATATGTATATGTGTGTGTATGTGTGCTTAAGTATGTGTATATATATATATATATATATATATATATACGTGCACATATGCATATGTACATGATAAGCTCCATCCAGTATCAATTGTTTTTGCTAGGAATTGAGCTCTGACCCCCCCAGCCTTCCACGTTTAAGATACGCATTGTTACCAGCCCGGTTATCTAGTCCCAGCCCATGCGTACGTTCAGGATAGTTCGGCCCGGTTCTTGCGCTGGAGATACACCGCCCGATCTTGCTACAGGTCCGTCACTGCGTGCGAGTGGGGCCTACCAATGCTAACACCAGCTCCCCTTTCTCTGCAGATCCGTCATAGCGGTTGAGTTCCAAAGGGTTGGTGAAGGAGCATGCAAAGGCAGCAGAAAACTAGTGGCCTATTTTTCCGGTAGCAGTTGTAGCGCAGGAATTCTTTCGAGCCGGCGCTATGGTTCACGTAACCTCTGTGTGAACTACTGGGCTTTCTGGGCTGGCGCAAACATGGATACCCAAAAGAAATGGGTAACGGGTTGAGTTAGGTGAAAATCAGTGGAAAATTACCGTTGTAGGAACGGTTTGGGTAAAACTGCTACGTCGTCTGAAGGGAATGTCGGACGAAATACCACAAGTAGGTTTTGGTGTACATTTTCCTGTAACTTGTACATCGTTGAGAAGCAAAGTTCTGGAGAAGTTCCAACGGATAGGCGACGAGTGGGTGCAACTTATCAGGAATGGGCAGCGATCGATATGGGGTACAGTCACACGTCTAGCTCGTGTATCTGGTGAAGGTAATCCTCCCGTGAAGGCCTCTAGTGTGAGCCTCTGCCGCTGCAGCGTCGTCGCCGGAGAGACGCCAGCTGGCCGTCTCTGCCAGATAGACGGCCGGCGTCAGCTGGCCCGGTCGCAGCCGGCAGACGACGGTAGGGTGAAGAGGCGGGCCTCTCCCACGCCCTCCGCCTGCCGCAGGGTGGCGCGCCAGTCGGCGGCTGGCTCGGTCCCCACCGACGGCGCGTGCGCTCTACCCTCCCCCCGGGATTCACGGCTTCGGTTCTGTTCGTGTGCGGTTGATTGTCATTGAATGCGAACCGTAAGGACGGTACATGTGAACTGCGCGTGATTTGAATGGACGTTCGTTGAAACCACAAAACTGGGCGTTTCGCTGTGAGCTGATTGGTTTTTAGAGCGTTTTAAGCATTTTAGTCTTTGAAAATGGCTTCTCGGCTTCATGAAATGTAGATTGCGTTATTCTCTAGTTCAATTGGGAGCTGGTGGCGCAGGTTTGAACATTTCCCCTAGATGCTGCTGTCTGAACGTGTATCGCTTATGTGGTTTCAGGATAACGAGCAAGTTTGGACTCTGAAATCGAGTATTTGTTGTCATTTTTTCACTGCGGCTTCGGCTCTCACTTTCCAAGATGTGCGTCACACGGCTGTCTTCTCGCGCACCCTTTCAAAGCTAAAATTTACCACACAGGTATTGTAGTCTAAAGAGCGCACAGGTGGTAAAACAAAGATATCGAATAATTCTGGAGACGATAAAGCGGTTTTAAGTTGTGCCCCCAATACAATTTTGTCACGCAATGCACGCAATTTGATGCGGTGTGATGGCGTCACCCTAAGAACGCAGACTATGCACATGATCAATCCATGGGCATGGGACAGTCGATTCATTGCCTGACACAATTATAAACAAAAGCAGAATTTGTTCTGTTCTGCAACTTTTCCTCTTTCAAACCTCTCCACACTATGTTACTGTTAATATCATGTAATTCCAACTTTCGCCGCACGGGGCCTCAGGTGTCGCGCTCAAGGCTTTTTCGAAATAAAGTCCGTTTTTAGCACGTTGCTGAAATTTCGGTAAGCTGAGTAAGCGTCTTTTTACAAGTTCTGTAAAATTGTTATGTTCCTGACCTCAGCCGGCCATGATTTATAACTCATTTCAGAGGTCATGTTGATAATATTTTGCTCAATAGGGACAAAAGATGCTTTATTTCTTGCAGAAACCCCTCTTTTAAGTGGATTTCTGCAATCGGTTTTTAGTTGTGTCGCTCTCAGATGAATTGCTCCATCATTCTGAACTGCATTACTATTGTTCTCACTGCTTGTATAGGTCATGCCATTCAAGGTCAAACTAGGTAAAAAATGTTACCTTTTTGAACAAATTTTGTATTTTTAAGGTACCACGATTTGTATGTTAACGGCACATATTTTACAACTTTGAATGAGGTTTCCAACGCTATCTTCCTCGGTGATGTCGCCTGTTTAGTTCTTGATGTAGGTGACGGGCCAGTGGAACTCATTGTCTTCACCCCTCCAACATAGCATGACAGATTGCAGGCAACACCGGGTGATGTCCGCTACCGCTCATCTGGTAATAGTTCTCAAGAGGTACCTAATGCTGTTGTCATGCGGGTCTTGAGATGGCAGGGTCTATAAAGCGCGGATGGGATTCACATGATCTGATTTATCTTTTAAAATATCACAGTCACCGTTGTCCAGCCATGCCGATCTGTTACAGTTTGACAAAGTGTCTCTTATACCGTTTTTCCTGGCTCTAGCTTGTTTATTTTCGGAGATTTCGTACTGTCCCCTGAGAGCCCGGCGTGGGAGAAGGTGAAAAATGTCCATTGGATGAGTATAAATAAAAAACAGTTCAGCCAACTGAACGTACCACAATTTAAGCATTTTTGTGAGGGATGATAAGCTGTAGTGTTAATTAATGGCCTGACCCAGTGGAGAGAGATAGGAACCCTAACGTTGTCCATGGCACATCACATTTGGTAGTACTTGATCAGTGTATTCTGTAATTTCATGCGCGATAGTAGCTGTAGACATGATGCTGAGCCTCAGCAAACATGGGATCGAACACTCCCGATAAATATTCAAAGCTGACTCCCCCCCCCCCGCCCACACACACACTTTCTCTGATCAACCCATTGTTATCTGATTTTTAAACTTTTTACTAAACACTGCTGGAGAATGCAGGCAGATAATCCAGTTGCCCGTCGCAAACAAAGGATGTTCTGCTGTGCCATGTATTACACTGCTTGTGTTGTCGCATGCACCAGATATCGTGCTTTTGTATTTGAACTCCCACTGAACGCGCAATACCGACTGTTCAGGAAAGTAATGCGGCTCAAAATGGTGCGTCATGCCATTATGACCTCAATATTATTTTACGAGATGCTCGCATGAACAAGTAAACACTTCTCCGTGAGAATTATGAGGGCTTGCTTTACACTTCCATAGACCAACTGATGACTTTTTTTTAATGTTTTCATTCTTACCTGAGCTGGCCTAGGCTTGACCGTATACAAGATACCTCAACCTCAGATTCATATTAATGCAAAAATACTAAACATGCCAAAATAATGTCAAGTTTCGGATGGCAATGCTTCGTCGAGTAACTGGTGGGTGCCTGACCCTATGTGTGAAGAACGGAATGGCAGCACGATGACTCACTGACACCCAACGCTCGGTTGGGTGATGCCCACCATAATGAGTATGAGAATCCATGCTTGGCAGCGAGGTCCGGGAGTCCAGGCACGGACTCGTCGCTGGCGCGCCGCGATTGGCGTTAGCGGGGCCACTGCCTTCCGAGTCCTACCGAACCGCCTCAACGGACAGCAAGCCAGGTGGTCATCAATGAAGGATTGCCTTCCGAAATATGACAGCATCATTTTTGCATATTTAGTTTGACTGCATTCACATTAATCTGAAGTGCAAGTGTTTGGTGCACGACGGCTTCGTGATAATAAGTCATTTTGTAGTGCCATGAAAATGTGCCGACCGTTCTGCCACGAATACATGGCAATGGAGGGTTGGATGTGAAATACGTATAGTTTAGTTTTACTTCCGGGTCCCTCTCTTGCCATACCCCGCCGCACTTATTTAAAGACAAGTTTGAGGCGACACAGCGACAACCCTCCGTGTTCCGGTATTTCCATTTCCGCTCCCGGAGCGTTCCCGGCAGGCACAGCGGCATCACTGACCTGGAGTTCCTGCGATGGCGGCGGTAATCGTCAGAAGCACGCCAAGTCCCAGAAGAGACGCCATGGCGTCCGCAGCTGAAGCAGCGCCATATCGGAAGGTCACGGGCCGCAGCCACGTCAGGATCGGGGACCCGGTGCTGGGTCAGCGTACGGGGCCGCGGTCATGTTAAGTGGTATGTTATGTCAGGGGCTGCGGTCATATTAATAGATCAAAAAAGGTCACTGCGCTTGGTCTGATTAAGAATGCCTGGTTCCATGCAGTGGAGTGAACTGTTGGAGGTCCTGCCAAGGTCACAGTGTTATGCCTTTGATGGCCCACGGTCACGACCGGCTGTTGAACGTGTCGGGCTGTTAAGTTGGTAGGTCGTGAGAAACCATACTTGTCAGCGAAGCCTGGGAGTCCAGGCACGGACTCGTCGCTGGCGCAGCGCGGTCTGAGTTAGCGGGGCCACTGCCTTCCGAGTCCTACCGAACCGCCTCAACGGACAGCAAACCAGGTAGCCAGAGTAGAAGCCAAAGAAGCCAGCGCACAGGCGGGTCGCGACCGGCGTCCGCCAGTCGCCAGGGCGGGTCTCACCGCTGGACGCTGTCGACTGTCGCCTGTCGGCGGCGCCGGTGCGCCAGGCCACTCCGTCGCGTTGGCTGGGCGCTGCAGCGTTGACGCGGCGCCCTACTGGGCCGGCCGGCCGCGCTGTCCGGTTATATGGCGGCTGGCGTGGCCAGGGAGCGGCCGCACCTGCCGCCCCGCCGCCGACCCCCCCCCCCCCCCCCCCCCGATGCACCGCGTCGGGTGCAGCGGCCCGCACCACGTCGGCACGGACACTGACCTTGGCTAGAGCGGTCGGATGAGCTGGCTCACAAAGATCACAAGCAGAAAAATCGCATGAGGTTGTTGTATTGTTGCGGATTTTTCGAGCACGTTTGAAGAATACAAAGCATTGCTAGGGTGGGCGCTCATTCTAAAACCCAGACCGATCCAAGAACTCGAACCAGATCTTAAAAAGAAGGTGGATGGCAAGTCCGAAGCAGCCCGGTCACTTTTTGAACTTTATACAGCTTGCATTTTTATAGAAAGGTGATCTTTTCGAGATGATTACCGCACTCACCTTTTCAGCCTTCTTTATTGCGCACATGCGCCATAAAGCCAGCGCTGGTCCACGCGATTCGTAAACCTGGACCAATTACGTAACGTTGTCGTCTCCACTGGAACATTATTCGAGGATGGATCCGACCCTGACATAGAGACTCGGTCGAGTCAAGCCCAGAGTCAGAGCCGGCATCAAATATGAGCGCTATGAGTCACCATCAGGATTAACCCTGCACTTTCGTTCGATCAACAAAGCAAAAAGTAGTCTGCAGCCGTCGGCTTCCTCAGGCGAGAGGTTGAGCCCACTCGCCGCACCTGTTCGGGTTCGACACGCCTGGCCACTTCGCCAGGCGTGTCGCTGAGTGCCGGCAACAATGACGTGCATTTTTGTCATCGAGCACGTGGACGAACGGCAAACCGCGGCGGGTTAATCCTTTTCGGTGGGTCGTGAAGGCACGGGCAATGCGGATAAAAGAACACGGCGCCGCAATAACGGAAGTTGCAGCAATACTAGGGCTGTAGTTTCCTGTTCGGTTGAAGAGCTTTGCCCCCTCCCTCCCCCCCACCCTCTCCCAACTGGTGGCCACTGGAAAGGTGGGAGTTGTCGTTGAATTCGTGAGTTGCTATTGCCTTCTGACCTTGGGCCCCAGCCCCCGAACCTTGAGAAGAAAGTGGACCAAATCCATTGGATGCCTTTTTTGCATGCGTGTTGACATGTCTTGGTAGTTTGGACTGTGGAGGCTGTGTTTGTGGAGAGACGCACGATTCTGTGGAGATAATGAGGCGTCGGAACATGACAGTTCTTGCTCAGTGATTCGTGCATGCCTGAAGGTGGACTGGATGGTTTAGAAACTGAGGCGGGTGCCTCTGGTCCTCCAGACCACGAATGAGGCAGGTCGAAGTCGAATATTGGGCCTTTGATGTGCCTAGAAGCATTCCATATATGTCTTAGCCCCCACTGACTGAGCCCCCACATGCCCGGTTATCTTACAATAGCCGGGCGTGACTTGAAACAACTGAAGCTAGGGTGTCGTCTCTTAGCTTGGGCCCATGACCATACTTCATGCCAGCATGGAGAAGAAAGCTCAAACAAACTTTCAATATACGCCAATGCTTCACGCTTTTCCACAGACATTGGGACACATTTATTAGAAAAAGACGTATTAAACGAAATGACATCCGTCAATCACCTCATAGCCATCTTAGAATATCCTGGCTAAAGCGTGTATTGCCGAGAATAAGAACACTTGCGATCCAATATCACTATTTTGAAAACGTGTCCATAGAGATTCGCACAAGTCAACGCAGCTCATACCCTTCTTTTATCACAAATACCATGCAAAATTCAACTCTCAAATCACAAAATATGTGCACACTATATACTCATGATTGCATGAATTGCAATATCAGTTCGTTAGGGTTCATCGGCAGTGGTACGTCGGCGCGCGTGGCCCTACGCTCATGCCCAGCATCACGGAGGGCTGTGCGCGCTGTCCGAGCACATGGCTTTACTGAGCGCTGGCCCGTACCCCAGGCCGGGCGCGAGGCCGGTGAAGGCGGCGGTCGGCGCGACCCCGCCGGGCAGGGCCAGGCTCGAGCCGGACACGGGCGACCGGTGCACAGATGACGCCCCGGTCGCTGCGCCGAACTCCGAGGTGGCGCTGCCGGCGACCGACCGGTAGGAGCAGCTGAGCGTCGGCTCGGCGGCGGCCGGCCGGCAGGAGGTGGACGTGGCGGCCGCTGTCGTCGGGGTCTCCCGCGCTGGCGTCGTCAGCTGGCACTCCTTGCCCTTCTCGATGCTTGCGCCTGAAACACGCGTCTCCGCTGAGCCGCCGTCCAGTTGGAGAATGCTTGAGAGGCGAGAATGCAAGCAGCTTGATCGGGATACATGCGTACCTGCTACAGGCTGCAATGATTAATTTATTTAAAATGCATTTTTGTGAATAACAAGATCGGTAGCTGCCTACGTTGATCTTAGCAAACATGTGCATGCATAATGTCAGGTACGTTGTGTCAGTGCGATAAATGCTCCCTGGTTAAAGTTAGTTAGATCTATTGCCATCCAAAACAAAGATGTCGCATACCAGGCAAAGATTGAATCGGTACGATGGCTGATTAACTAAGCACGGACTAACAAAGGATCTCGAAAAACTTACACTCTTTTTTGTCCTTATCTTCTGTTCGTCTCTTGCTTTTCGGCTTCCGTTTCCGAGTTTGAATTCCGTCTTTCCTCATGGACAGGGGTCGGCGGATGCCATGAAGCTTGAAGTACAGACCACAGGCGTTGCAAACCGGCTCACCTGTAACTTAGCTTGGTAAGATCCCTGACGACCGGATGGCAGTCACGGTTATGTACACATGTAGCTACCTCGGTATCGTGGTCACGAAGGTCTTGAGCTCGTGGGTCAGATTTTGCTCACCACAGCGCCTCCGCCCATGCCGATACGCTCGGAAAGATGGTCGGTACGCAAAGGGAAACCGCATCATCTAAGCGCGATATGGAGAGGACCATTTATGGCGTGCGTCGTAATTACACCTCTGCTTGGCGTAGCAAGTGACCACCTCAACCAAACGTAACGAGCGATAAGGGTCAACAGTAACACCATTTGTCTACAAGCCTAGACAACTCTTCATCAATGAGCAGAATACAGGACCGGAGCGCACTGCAGGGCCGGTGCCGCCGCCCGCGCGTCCATACGTCACCTTCGTTGTTCCGCCTCCAGAGAGTCGTCTGCGTGGTGCCACAGTTCGTGCACATCGAGTGAAATCGACGAGCGTACGGCGACTAAAAGAACGGCACAAATACGGGATTATTAGCAATCAGCGTTTCGGACCGATTTTATGTTAAGCCTGAACAAAAGCCTGGGTGTCTGACATTCACCTTTGTTTGCAAAGGCGAAAACAAAACGAAAAAGCTTAAGGTGGGATGTGACGCTGTATACCGTGCTGACATTTCATGCGCCACTGACAATACGCATTTATTTCATGCTCTGCTTTAAAGCATTTGTTTCGTTCGGAGGGCGGTATTTGGCGGTCTCTGTCCGGTTCATAGCACTGACCCCTCTCCTGGCGTTGAAGAGACGAGGATGGCCCATGCCCTTCCACTTGGGGTTGCAGAAGCAGGCGCCGCAGAGGAAGTGCCCCGTGCCGTCCGGGTAGCAGGACTGGGTGACCGTACCACACTGAACGCACTCACGAAACTCTGAAACGGCATGTGCGCGTCCCCTTAACAAGCGATTCCACTCACTCGACTAAACTCAGCCAATTGCGCCGTGTGGTACACATACGCACGCACGCACGCATGCACGCACACACGCACGCACACACGCACGCACGCACGCACGCACGCACGCACGCACGCACGCACGCACGCACGCACGCACGCACGCACCCACCCACCCACCCACGCGCACACATACACACGCACGCACGCATGCACGCACGACGCACGCACCCACCTACCCACGCACACACATACACACGCACGCACGCACGCACACACGCACGCACGCACGCACGCACGCACGCACGCACGCACGCACGCACGCACGCACGCACGCACGAACGCACGAACGCACGAACGAACGCACGCACGTACGCACGCACACACGCACGCACTTGACCATGACGTCACACATGTGCTTAGAAGAGCCCAACGGCGAGCAAGAGCGGACAGAGCAGAAGCAGCCGAAGTACCGTATGTTCCGCGCTGCAGCGACTGCAGGCCGGTCATGTTGTTGCAGGCCCAGGGCATCATGTTGCCGCCCGTGTAGCCGTAGCGCGGGAAGGCCTGCGCTATGCCCGGGTGCGGCATCTCGCGAGACGGCGGCAGCTTGAAGCCGCCGAAGTTCATGGAGAGCTGGCCGCCGTCGGAGCCCGCCGGCACCCCGCCGCCCTGCCAGCTGCCGGGGCGAGGGGCGGGGCTGGGTCAGCGCTGCAGGCCAGGCCGGACGCCCCGCGCCGGGTGCAGAGCGGCTCAGGGTCAGCGGTCGTCGAAGCAGCTGACACAGACCGCTGGAAAGACCCTGCGTTTGTATGGAACCAAGCACGTGTGCATGAAGGGAGTCTTTGAAGAGTCCTTCCTCAAGGGAGATTGTGTCCAAAAGGGAAACCCTAGAACGTCTTGTTAGCTGTTGTGGGCGCCGGCCACGATAGCCGGCGGTCGTACAGTATGCACACTGGAACATCACAGACGATCAGTACAAAGTCGAGCAGCATAACTAATGGCATTCCTGCAGGCACGTACGTGGGAAGGTACGGAGACCGGTGTGTTTTCAATTGCAGGAACGGTGTCAGTACAGATGATACATTTTGTCCGGTATCATTTTCATTATCGTAAGACGCTAAAAACGCGACGGTCATACTAAACAGCTCCATGCTATCCGGATTACAAAATACCCAAATTTCCGAACCCTCGGAACACCGTGTCGCACTCTGATCCCTGTGCTCTCGTGCCACCACCACATGTCCTCATTCCCGGGCTTGGACGCGGCGTGGAGGTCCTTACCGCACCGGCGGTGTGAGCCTCCACGCTGCGCACCGTTCGCATTGACTGACCTGCCGCAGGCGGAGGTGCCACCGCCGGCGGCCACCGGGCCCATGTGCGGCGTCTGTGCGGCCATGTGCTGCAGGCCGAACAGCTGGTGTGCGGGCGGGACGCACACGGCGCCCGGCAGGTAGCCGCCGCCGCCACCGCCGCCTCCGCCTCCGCCGCCGGCGCCGCTGCCGCAGCCGCCTCCCTCCAGGCCGTGCCCGCCCGTGCCGTGCACGCCGTTGTGGTACATGGCGGGCCACAGGGTGGTGCCGTGGCGGCCTTCGGGCCGGCGTCTGTACGCTGTGGGAGGCAGAGACGGGGATCAGAGAGGGGTCGGGCTCGGACGCTGCCTCCGGGCCGGCATCTGTCCGCTGTGGGAGCCAGAGACGGGGATCAGAGAGGGGTCGGGCTCGGACGCGGCCTCCGGGCCGGCGTCTGTCCGCTGTGGGAGACGGAGACGGGGATCAGAGAGGGGTCGGGCTCGACTCCGCGCCGCCGTCTGTCCACTGTAGGAGACGGAGACGGGGATCAGAGAGGGGTCGGGCTCGGACGCGGCCGCCGCGCCGGCGCCGTGCCGTCAGCATTGTGCCGCGTGTGTTCGCCGAGCGGCGTGGGGCGAGTTTGGTCTGCGCCGGAGACGGAACGTCAGCACACTGACGTCACTTCATTGTGGCGCTGATACGGTGTGTCGCCGAGCGGGGGCTATCGTGGGTGACGTCACAATGCGGAGACGGCAGTTGTTGTGACGTCATGTGAGACCGTGGAGGTGATGGCGGGCGTCACAACACAGCGATTGGTGACGCTAGCACAACAGGAAGGCATCGACGCCGCTCAAGCTACCGAGGTCAATGTCAGCCCACTCACGTTGAGCTGACCTCGAACTGGCCCGAGCGACCCAGTGACACGCTATGGCGCGCCTCGCTATGTTCTGTGAATCTCACAACGTGACGTCCGACCTGAACACGTGACAGACGCAGCCGGGCCGCCGGCGGCCTCCACGCGGCTTTAATTTGGCGTGACGCGTTTCCCTAACTTGTCAGCGGGGACGGCGTATGACGGAGCGCCGACGCCGACGCCGCCGTCGGCATCGACGGCTTCGTTAGCGGCGACAGGTAGGCGCGCGCGCCGGCCGCCATCTGGCTCCAATTGAGACATGAAAGGTGGCGCGCCACGCGACGGCGCCACCGCTCCCAAATAGCCCGCCGCCTCGTCCATCAGCGTGTTTCATTAGACACGTCGCGTCGGGGACGACGCGTCGCCGGTGATGGTCGCTGTCGGCGAGACGGGGACGGCGGCGACGGCGGGCCGAGGGCCGGCGCTCCACGAGACGGGGACCGCAGCGACGGCGGACCCAGGGCCGGCGCACGGCACTGCTGGGGATGATGTGGATAGGCCCGCGTGGCGATCAAGGGGGAGGGCTGAGGGACGTTGAGGTAGGGGAGGCGGAGGCACGGTTTGATGGGAAGGTCTTGCCGGGGACATCCAATGTCGTCGTTGATGCAGTTGATGCACGCCATTAAATCATGACTCTGGAGTGGGGCGTGTGCTGGTCACCAGGCCCGGCCGGCCGGGGGGTGAGGTCACAGCCGATCGGCGCTGCTCCGCCTCCAGCGGCGTCACGAGGAGAGGCCCTCCCCGGCCGGAGCGGGGCGCGAAGGCGGCAGCAGCAGCTTCTACGGTCACCTCTGCCGAGCGTCAACGACAGCCAGAGGCTTGAACCGGCTGTGTGTTGAGGGTTTTCCCGCGGTACAGGCAGGATATGGCGCCGGGCAGCACTGCTGCCGTGAGGGATTAGCCCGCGCTCCAGGCAGGATCTGGCGCCGGGCAGCACTGCTGCCGTGAGGGGTTAGCCCGCGCTCCAGGCAGGATCTGGCGCCGGGCAGCACTGCTGCCGTGAGGGGTTAGCCCGCGGTTCAGGCAGGATCTGGCGCAGGGCAGCACTGCTGCCGTGAGGGGTTAGCCCGCGGTTCAGGCAGGATATGGCGCCGGGCATCACTGCCGCCGTGAGGGGTTAGCCCGCGGTTCAGGCAGGATCTGGCGCCGGGCAGCACTGCTGCCGTGAGGGGTTAGCCCGCGCTCCAGGCAGGATCTGGCGCCGGGCAGCACTGCTGCCGTGAGGGGTTAGCCCGCGGTTCAAGCAGGATCTGGCGCAGGGCAGCACTGCTGCCGTGAGGGGTTAGCCCGCGGTTCAGGCAGGATCTGGCGCCGGGCAGCACTGCTGCCGTGAGGGGTTAGCCCGCGGTTCAGGCAGGATCTGGCGCCGGGCAGCACTGCCGCCGTGAGGGGTTATCCCGCGGTCCAGGCAGGATCTGGCGCCGGGCAGCACTGCTGCCGTGAGGGGTTAGCCCGCGGTACAGGCAGGATATGGCGCCGGGCATCACTGCCGCCGTGAGGTTGCGGCGCGTTGACGAGGCGCTGTCTCGGACCGGGGTTTCGCCCGGGAGCTGACGGCAGGTATCCAACCGAGTGACGAGCTTTCTTTCCTTTAGTTGTGTGCAGCGAAGAAATGATGCCTCGCTTTCGACCTGTGGTTCAAGGCCATGCTTGTTTTCGTATTTGTGTTTGCCGCCTTGGGGGCGTACTAAACAGAACACGGTGGTTCTGACACCCGAATCAAGAGCACCGGGCTAAACATATTCGAGAGGCTGAGCGCCAGCAGCAGTCCCAGATGAGCTGTGCCATCCATGCCGTGCAAGACCGCACGAATGTCCCAAGATGACAAGATGGGCAGCACTGTGCGGCATTCAAAGCTCAGAAATGCTCGCAGCACCGTTATAACTCATCGGAACGTATGATCTGAGCCAGGGCACTTCCCGCCCGTGAAGGACAGCTCGGTGCGCAGCAATGGGACTATACGGGGCTTCAAGAAGTAAACCCTCAAACGTGCGACCTGAGCCATGCCCCTCCCCCGCCCGTGAAGGACAGCTCGGTGCGCAGCACGACTGGACGGGCTCAGAAGTAACCCCCCAAACGTGCGACCAGCAGCCCCGGCCGGTGCATTCGCCGCGGCGACTAATGAGACGATGAAACATCCCTAACTGGGGCCGGAGTTAATTTCCGCCTAACAAATGGCCCGGGCGGTCGTTGAAGTTAAATATGGAAGCATAAATCACTCGTGCGAGGTGAGTAATGCACTGTTGTATTTTCAGGTGAAGCTGGAACTGCAGAAAGTGAGTTAAGACGTTAATTTATTATCGTGGTTATCTAGAGCGTGTTGCGAATGAGTGATTGCAGCAAAATACAAGCCAGTTACCACCGCAAAAACCCACGCAGTGTCCAAATATCGCGAAGTTAATTGGGGCTAAATGCACCGGTATTTCTTTGTCGGCCGTTAAGGTTCAACCAGATAGTGTCTATGTGGAATAAGTCCCGTGGCGTAAATTTATAAAATTGCCGCAGGTGTATCAAGAATAATCTTGAACAAAATTTGAAAGGAGAGTTGGGATTCGAGCAGCTATGCCAAGTGAAAAAAATGATTATGCATGACATTTTTCGCATGCAGGTTTCCAGTTCAAAAAAGGAGGTACGGCAATGCTGAAGTCATTGAACCCTCAACAATGTCCAGATCGGAATATACAATATGGTACAGTATGGGGACCCAGACGTCTCATGAATCATTCGTGCACAGCAAGAATTGGTAGTTTTGTTCAGTGTGCATTCTTGGTATAATGCATTTGAAACCGCCGAAAGACATATTAGTCGCTTTTATGGAAATCAGCAGCAATCTCCCATTCTCGTTTCTCCTCCCCAATGGTAAATGGTTAACCCGTTGATCCCGTACGCCCGATGTGACGGTTGAGACAGAGTCGCGAAAAAACACGTGGAGGGATGGTCGAAGAGACTCGGGGAGCCCGACAGCAGCGTCCCAGCTCCATAGCCTCAGAAACCATTTCATCGCACAAATGGGTTGGAACTGATTCCAATGAAATTAAATTGAATTGAGGACCAGTGCCGATGTCGGGATTTGTAAAGGTAAGCTCAGTAGGAGTGCTAATCCCGGTACCTTTGCCTATTCCGAACTTCCGGAATTATCAATGGTGCAATCCCTGCACAGCGGATTATCTCGGGCGATATCTAGAGCCATATCCGACAAACACCATTGTTTTTACACCTTGCGCGCACAGCAAGTCAAATCTGCATTATTTGTATTGGCTTTGCAGCGCTTAGAGCGTTATGGTAGACAACTTCAGTCTTCGGCACAAGGCCAGGAACACTATTTTGAAGCTGTAAGTTCCATCTTTCTCCACGAAACGTAACCTCGAAAAGCAAGTGGAGGGCGGCTTGAGCCGAGGAAGTAGAGGATGCTCGCAACTCTTCAT